GGTATGCAACACGTCCCCCCGATTATTTTTAGGCACAAGTGGCCGTTTTAGAGGGCGGGTAGGGACCGGAGCATAGTGACAACTTCAGAGATGCTCGTGTACAATGCTTCGCGTGACTGCTGGCAGGCTGGACATCTTAGAGCAATGGGGAGCCACGGAGGGTGTGTGAGCAGGAGTCCAGATCTAAGCTGCGGGAAGAAAATTCCTCTAGGCCAGCCTGAGGGATTAAACTAGCCAGGGCATATTCACAATGCACGAGTTTTCCAGATTGCGAAGAGCTAGGACTCAAGGGCATCCGGGCTGAGCGCCAAGAGGAGAAGCCTTGGCTGCGGTCGCGGAGAAGCCGCCAGCCGGCTGCGTGCCAGCTGTCTGTCCCCAGTGAGGGCGACTGAAAAGGCCAGCAGCCAATTCCCCTGGCTGAAGCCAGCGGCGTCACAGCCACCCTGGGGCGCCCTCTACCAATGGCCAAGGCGAAGAACTACAACTCCCAGAAGACCGCGACAAAATGCCGTACGCACGCGCAGATTGAGGAGCCGACACTCGCTCTCCACCTGCTGGTCATTTCGGAGAACTACACTAAGGACAACACTTCTAGTTTATCATCATGCGCAGGCGTGGAACTACAGCTCCCGGAGTGCCTCGCGGCAACACATAGAACTACATTTCCCAGAAGGCATTGTCGCGGAGCCTACGGTCTAGGAACTGGCGGCGGCAGGAACATAGTGACCCGCCGCTAGACATGGCGTTCCTAGTCCGGAGTTTTGGGTCCCCCGCCTGCAGATCGGTGGCCCAGTTGGGTGACAGGTGAGTGCTCAGGGGGTACCTTGCTCCAGATCTGGAAACAAGGGTGACCCCTCGACTACCACGCGCACTTACGTAGCGCCTTTTGCATACAAGGTGTTTTGTTTACCCAGCACGTTACGAAGTTGAGGTTCAGAGAGGTTGAGCGACGCGCTGGGGTCACACAGCGTTCATTCTCATCGTTTCTCTGGTCCCACAGGTGGCTCCAACCCAGGGTCTGGATGGGGCTCCCGGACGCCTGGAGCTTCCCCTCCCTGCAGCAGGCCCGCGGCCGCACGCGCGGGAACGAGTACCAGCCTAGCAACATCAAGCGCAAGCACAAGCACGGCTGGATCCGCCGGCTGAGCACCCCGACCGGCGTGCAGGTCATCCTCCGCCGCATGCTGAAGGGCCGGAAGTCCCTGAGCCACTGAGGTCGGTCTCGGGCGCCCGCGGGGAATTGCCCGAGGGCGAGAAGTTGGGGGCCCGTCCCTTCGTAGGCTTTTGGAGTCTGAAGAATTCAGAACTTGCAGAGTCCCGGGGTCCCCGCGCCCTCCAGTCCACAGCGGTGGCGCCCCCTCCCTCCTGCGGTGTCTCGGCGGTTTCTGAAGGCGTCTTTGCCAGCCGGGCTCCTTGAAACATCGCACCACCCGCGGCGATTCCAGCCACTGGAGTATTACCGGCTCGCTAATAAACATTCACGTTTCTAGGCGCGTGAGTCCTTACAGTTCTGTGGGGGGGGGGGGATCTGGGGCCTCTGCTGTGAGGCGGGCAAGGCTTTAGCCCCGAGGATCCATGTCCCCACACAAAATGCTGGCTTCTGTTTGGCCTGATGTCCGGACGTGTAGCAACCGATTGTCCTTTTACTGTGTGCACTCCACAAACGCCTTTACATACTGAGCGTGTCACCAGCCCCCGGCTTGTCATGAAGGGACTCTGTCTGATGGGTAACGTGGATTTAGAGCCGTGCAGTTGGGACACACGGGAATCAGATCTGAAAGTGGAATCGTAGTGGCCACGGGACCCTGAAAGAGGATACGCGCTGACTTGGCTCTGACAACAGAGCAATCAGGGAAGGCTTCCTGGGAGAAGGGGCTGAATCTGCAGGAGGGATTGGTTAGGGGTGAGTACCCACACAGGTGGAAGAAGCCGGAATTTGGACCCCTCAGGTAGAGGGGTCCAAAACCTTGGTGTTGGAGCCAGACTGAGCTAGATCTGACTGATGTTGCACATCTGTCCCAGCAAACATGCAATGGAGGGCAAGAGGGTGAGGAGTTCAAGACCACCCACTCTCACATTTTTTAATTTTAGATTTTCTTATTTTTTATTTTGTGTATGCATTTTACTTGTGACTTAGTTTGGTTTCTACCAAAAGCAATCCCATCACAGCTCATAGTCCCATGGCTGAAGAATGTCAGGCAGGGTCCTCGAGGAAGGAGCTGATGCAGAGGCCATGGAGGGGTGCTGCTTACTAGCTTGCTCCTCTGGCTTGCTCAGCCTGCTTTATTATAGGACCCAGGACCACCAGCCCAGAGATGGCACCACCCACCATGGACTGAGCCCTCCCCATCATCAGAAACCAATAAAATACCCATAGACTGTTTGGGTGCTGAGATTGTAACCTAAGTCATCTGGAAGGGCACCACTGATGTACCTCACCAGCCCTGAGACTCTGACTTTTTAAAGAGTGGGAAAAAGACTCTGTCTTAGTCAGGGTTTCTGTTGCTGTGATAAACACCGTGACCAAAAAGCAAGTTGGGGAGGAAAGGGTTTATTTGGCTTACACTTCCACATCACTGCTCATCACTGAAGGAAGTCAGGACAGCAACTCACAGAGGACAGGCACCTGGAGGCAGGAGCTGATGCAGAGGCCATGGAGGGGTGCTGCTTACTGGCTTGCTCCTCTTGGTTTGCTCAGCTGCTTTCTTATAGCACCCAAGACCTCCAGCTCAGGGATGGCACTGCCTACAATGGGCTGGGCTGTCTTCATCAATCACTAATTAAAACATCTAGCTGGGGGGTAGTGGCACACACCTTTAATCCCAGCACACAGGAGCAGGCAGATCTCTGAGTTCAAGACCAACCTGTAGATGTAACTAACCGTCTTATTAAATAAACACAGAGCCGATTCAGAGAAGAAAGCCAAGAGGTCAGAGCTAAGAGCCTTACCCTTCCTGCTTCATCCAAGAGAGCTCTCCGAAAGGGGCCTACTTCCTGTGTGTTTGTCTTTAAATAGTCTTTCTGTTCTGCCTTCTCATTGGTTGTAAACCCAAACACGTGACTGCTTCATCACTGCCTGCCTGTAGAGACTTCCAGGTCTTTCTATGGTTGGGATTGAGATTAAAGGCGTGTGTCTCCAATGCTGGCTGTATCCTTTTACACACAGAGATCTACCTAGCTCTGTCTACCAAGTGCTGGGATTAAAGGCGTGCGCCACCACTGCCCACGCTCTTGCTATGGCTCTAATAGCTCTGACCCCCAGGCAACTTTATTTATTAACACACAATTAAAATCACATTTCAGTACAAATAAAATACCACCATACCAACCTGGTCTACAGAGGGAGATCCAGGACAACTAGCACTAGACAGAGAAACCCTGCCTCAAAAAAAAAAAAAAAAAAAAAGCAAAAGAAAATGCTTCACAGGCTTGCCTACAGCCCCATTGTATGGAAGGGTTTTCTCAATTGAGGCTCCCTAATCTCTGAGGATTCTAGCTTGTGCCAAGTTGACATAAACTATACAGTAGGTTCAGTGAGTAAAGTATTTTCGGGGCAACTTAAGCTGAGTTTAGATCCCTGTACCCACAAAAGGCCAGACACGTCTGTGGCCCCAGCACTGGGGAGTCAGAAGCAGGCAGACCCTGGGTCCAGCTCCAGGTTCAGTGAGAGACCCCATCACAAAATATGAATGGAAGACTGAGGCTGTAGCTTAGTTGGTAGATGGTTGCATGTATGGAGAGGCCCCGAGTTCCCTCCCAAGTACCCCATAAATCCTAGGGGCACACACCTGCAGTTCCAGCCTTTCAGAGGCAGGACGATCAGATCAAGATCATCCTCAGCTTACATAGCAAGGTAGGGCCAGCCTGGGCTACATGATAAAGGAGGGCCAGTGAGATGGCTCAGCAGGGAAAGCGGTTGCTGGTCTAGCCTGGGGACCTGAGTTGATTCTAGAACCCATGTGAAGGTGGACAGAGTAAACCTGCTCCTCAGAGTTGTCCTCTGCCGTCCACACATTTATCATGCACACACAGTTATAATAAAATGTAATAAACAGATCAGTAAGTAAGCTGGAGAGCCATGAAGACACACAGTGCCAAGCCTTGCGTGCATATGCGCATGCATACATACACACACACACACACACACACACACACCACAAAAGCACAAGGTTTTAGTTTTGGTTTTGAATATAGTGAGCTGTCATTTCAAATTTAGTAGCTACTTCAGAGACCATATGAAAATTCAAGTTTGAAGGCCAGGTGGTGGGCGCAGAGCACACGTTTAATCACAGTACTGGGAGGCGGAGGCAGGCGGGTTCTATGAGTTCGAGGCCAGCCTGGTCTACAGCACGAGCTCCAGGACAGCCAGGGCTACACAGAGAAACCTTGTCTCAAGAAATACATGAAATTAGGCTGGCCAGACAGCTCCCCTAGTAAAAGTTTTTAGCAAAAGTTCTGTCATTAACAGGACATCTAAGAGAATGTGAGATTAAAGGCGTGCGCCGCTGCCACCACCTGGCTTTCAAACTGCCCGGCTTTTTACATTTTCTTAAATCCATGTTAGCTCTACCTAAAGGAACAAGAACTTCACACCTGCCTTCCCAGGAATTTAGGAAGCTGAGACAGGATTGCTGCATGTTCAAAGTCAGTCTGTATTATGAGATCATGGCGTGACCTCAAAAAATAAATAAATAAAAATCCGTAGGTTGAGATCCGGCGGAGGTGGCCGGGAGTTCAGTGGCCTCGTTATAGCGAGGCCCTCCAGGGACATCTTAGAAAAAGCCGAGCCAGACCCAGAACGAGAGAAGACCTGTGGGACCACGAGCGAGCTGTCAACTACAACTCCCAGGAGACTTCGCACGCAGTCTCCGCCCACTTCCGGATCGCAAGTCCCCTGCATCTCAAGTCCCGGGCGGGGTTTGCTCCTTCAACCTAACTCGACGGCGAAGGCGGGGTGAAGACCAATGGCAACGTGCGTGAGTATGGGCTGGCCAATAGGAGCGCGCCGGGCGCGGATGTCGCGAAGGGCGGGGCCGCCACACGGGCCAATGACGCGCGGCGCTGTCGCCATCGGCGTGAGCTGCGCGGCGGCTGGAAGTGGCTGTGCGGCCGCGACTGGGAAGGAGGCTGCGGCGGCGGTGGCGGCCGGGGCGGCGGAGGACGCGGACGATGGTGAGCGCGGCCGTGCGGCCTGCCTTTTCGCCCCGCATGGCGTCGCGGGGTCTCTCCACTGTCTCCCCGAGACCCTCCTTTCGACCCCCCCCTTGTCCCGGTCCCGCCCCTCGCGCTGACCTATGACCTCCGGCCCCTCCCCCGACCCCTCCGCGGGCTGCCACTCGACCCCACCCCGGCTCTTTCTGCGACCCCTGACCCTAGGTAGGCCTCCAGGCCTTGACAACTCTTTCATTTCCGGGTCGCGACTGTCTCTTGTTCCCCCCCTCCCCCCGGAAATCACTTGGGGTGTGGGGTGGGGTCCCCCGAGACCCCCGCTCCGGGCTGTTCCTCGGCGCGGCTCCTCCGGTTCCCGGCGTTTGAGGGGCGGGTCTGGGCAGCATGGCTGCGAGGGGGCTTGTCACCGTGTCGTGCAGGGCTTTGTCACCAAAGGAAGTGCGACATCGCGCCAGACCCGTTTCCCGGGTCCCCATCCCTCTCTCTCCGCCTCGAGCCCCCACTTGTCTTTAAAGAGGGAGCAGCTTTGTCTCACTGTTTGCACAATGAGGGTGCCCACCGCTTAGAATGGGACATGGGCAGCGGCTAGCACAGGGCCCGCCCACAGATGAGCTGAGGGACATCCTCCTCTTGCTGTCCCCCCCAGTCTTCAAGATAGGTGATCCCTGTGACCTGATGGGAGCCCCTAAACTTCTCATGGGTCGTGGTCCCCGTGGTTCTTTGGGATTGGGGCTCCTCCTCCCCGACCCAGGGTGATGGCCACACCTCAGGGTTGGGCAGGGGTGAGTCCAGACCCCAGATGCCAGCCCACACCCTGGAGAATAGGTAATGAGTCACACAGAAGAGTTCCTGGAAGGGGGGGAGACGTGGCTGTGGGGTCCCCGCTTCACCTCTGCAACCTCATTCTCCACACCAAGAATCTCCTCCTGCCACCCACCCTGCTTCTGAACCTGCCACCTCCCGGAGGCCCATTCCAGGCTCCTCCCTACCCCTTCCCATCTCAGGCCCTTGGCCACCTTTAATTCACCTAGAATCAGGGGTTTTTCAAAGACACTGTGTACACTTTCTAGCTTATAAAGCATCCGTGGGGCTCCCTGTGGTGAATCTCTTCCTGGCTTCCATTCAGGGGGCAGTGCCCTTCTTTGTGACCTCATCCCCACCTGCTCAGCTCTCCCCTCAGCAAGGCACACTGGGCTTGTTTTCACTTCCTCTGGCTCCCAAGGTCTTGCTGTCCCAGGACCTTTGCACCAGCTTCGCCTCTGCCATAGCATGTGGCCTCCTGGAGCATAGCTTCCCTTGACCCTGAAGGCCCGTGAGAGAGATGGCCCCTGTGTCTTGAGGCCGTGTTTGCCAGCTGACCTGAGGAGGTCCTGTCTTTTCTTTCAGAACTGCCCTGCCCTGAGGGACCTCTGTCCCCAGCTTTTGCCCTGCATGTCTCAGCTGCCACTCTGAGCTGTACTTGGAGATGGCAGGGTACTGCATGGGGGGGGGTGCACTGCATGGGGGGTGCACTGCATGGGGGGTGCACTGCATGGGGGCATGCAGCCTAGCTAGGAGGTCGCACCCAGGTCACTTAGCCAGCAGCAGGCCTGGATTTGGTGTGGGGTTGTGGGGTCTTCTCCGAGCTCTGCCTGGGCCCAGCCTGAGGCCTTAGGGAGACATGAGGTATGCTGCAGACATGCACTGCAGTATGGGGACAGCTCAGGCAAGTAGTTTGAGATAGAGGGAAACTTGTAGGGTATGTCCCAGATGGAGAAAGTTATGGCCACCACTTAGTGTGACAAGCCAGGGAGATGAGACAGGCCGAGATTACTTATTTGTTATTTTGAGACAGGGTGTCCCTGTGGACCTCCGGAGTGCCGGGGTGACAGTTGTGGGGACATAAGCAGGGCAGGCTCCCTTCTGCATGGCTGCCCCAGGGAAGCTCCCCTGAGCCCAGACTAGCCTGGCCTCTGCCACCAAGCCACACATAGAACCCTCTGGACTAATGGCCCCAAACACCTCGGTTCTTCTGTTTTGGAGTGCCCCCCACCCCAGTGTGTAGCAGTGGTCTGGCCAGGGAACCCTGGGGGGTTTGGGAGGGGGAGCACTGGAGCCCGCACCCTGGGTTGGTCAGGCGCAGCTCTTGGGACATTGAGCTGGCCCCAGAGCAGGAGCAGGGACGTTCCAGGCCAGCGGGGGGAGGGGGGAGGGGGGAGGGAGAATGGCCACTGATGCAGGCACCCCTGCTTCACTGGAAGGTCACCCAGGGGTCCAGACCTGAGCCTTAGGAATGTTCCAGGGAAGCAGTAACATGGGCCTGTGGCCATCTGTACAGGGCACACACAGTGACACCTCCCAGGGTTACACCCGGAGCCACAGACTTGTGCACTTTCATCCACTACCCCTCCCCAGCCCGAGTGACATTTGGAGAATGAACAAACATCCTGGCTGCCTCCCTGAGCTAGGCAAACTCAAGACACGGTTACCTGCCCCAGCAGCCGGCTCTCTCAGTGTGTTGTAGGATAGGCTCCCAGGCCATCAGCCCCTGTCCACCCCACCTGAGTGCAGGACGGTGGGCATGCACCACCAGCCCATCTTCTGAATAGTCTCTCGTTATTGCTTTCTTTCGTTTGTTTGTTTTTGATTTTTCAAGACAGGGTTTCCTCTATATAGCCCTGGAACTCAGAGATCCACCTGCCTCTGTGCTGGGATTGCTGTGGTTGTAGTTGTTGTGAGATAGGGTCCCACTTTGTGGCCCAGGCAACCCCCTGTGTTCGCCTGCTGGACATTGAGATGACGGGTGTGCATGCTGAAGTGTACTTAAACAGCTGCAGGCTGGAGATGGCCGCGCGTGGCGGTGGGACCACTGGAGGAAGGAGGGGTGCACACAGTGGACTCATCACCCTCCCGCACAGACATGCATAGCACAGTGGATACATGTAGAAAAATAACTTAATAGACAGGCAGCCTCAGGTTCCCTCTGGCCTGGTCACAGGTCATGTGAGACCCCTAGGAGGGCCCCTTGCCTCTCTGGCGCTGGAGCACAGGGCGGGTGGCAGCTCAGGTGTGCTCTCAGGCTGCATCAGAGGCCTCACACCCACCCCTGTCTCCAGGCAGACTTTCTGAAAGGCTTGCCGGTCTACAACAAGAGCAACTTCAGCAGGTTCCACGCGGACTCCGTGTGCAAGGCCTCGGTGAGTGTGGGGCTGGGGGTGGCATCACTGTCCTGAGGGTGAGGGTTGCCAGCTAACCCACCGCTCCCCGTTCACAGAACCGCCGTCCCTCAGTGTACCTGCCGACCCGAGAGTACCCGTCAGAACAAAGTGAGTACTGCAGCGCGTCGGCCTCCACGGCAGCTAGGAAGGGCCTGTGGAGGGGCAAGGCTGCCTGCGAGCAGACACCGTCTCTCCCTGGTGTCTGCAGGGGCTTGGGTGGCCCAGGCTATCTGCATAGCAAGACTGTAAGCTGGGACTGAGCTGGGAGGTAGAGCCCTGGGCTCCATTGTGAACCAGCGCTCTGGACAGGAGGAGGAGAAGTTTAAACCTGACTCTAGATCCTGGAATCCATGAGAAAGCCAGGCGCCTCAGCAGGGGTCTGTAATTGGAGTCCACCCCTATCAGGCAGGCCAGGGCCAGCGCCAGAGTTGATCTCTGGCCAAGGCAGGTGCGCACCCACACACATCCACATGCCCAGAAAGACCACAAGTCAAGGACTGTGGCCGTGGAAGTGGTGAAGGCAGTGGCCGTTCCGGGCCTGTGGGCAGTGATGTCCGGGCCATGGGCTGTGGCCTAGGAGAACAAGGGCCTGGTGCTTTAACGGCCAAGAAAGAATCTAGAAGCCAGATGTGGCGGTGGACACCTCTAATCCAAGCACTTGGGAGGCAGAGGCAGGTGGATTTCTGGGAGTTTGAGGCTGGTCTACAGAGCGAGTTCCAGGTCAGCCAGAGTTACATAGTAAGACCCTGTCTTAAAAGTTAACAAACCAGGGCTGGAGAGATGGTTCAGAGGTTAAGAGCACTGGCTGTTCGTCCAGAGGACCTGAGTTCAATTCCCAGCAACCACATGGTGGCTCACAGCCATCTGTAATGACGTCTGGCGCCCTCTTCTGGTGTGCAAGCATACACACAGAACACTGTATACATAATAAATAAAACCTTTTAAAAAAAATTAACAAACCAAAAACTCTGAAGTCCACAAGATGGCTCAGCAGGTAAGGTGCTGGCCACCGGGCATGGGAGCCTGACATGGTCCCCAGAAGCCACATGGTAGGAGGAGAGGACCGACTCCCACAGTTGTTCTCTGACCAGTGTGTGCACCCACCTAGCACAGATGAAAAGCAAGCAAGAGGCTGTGTAGACTGAGGGTTAGCATTGGCTCCTGCTGCAGGGGTCTGAGCCCAGGCCCCAGCGCCACAGCGGGCCTCACCAAGAGATCTGATGCCCTCTTGTGGCTTCCTGGGACACATGCATAACCCCACACACACACATACACAAATTTAAAATAATAAAAATAAATTCTTAAAGATAAAAAGAATCTAATTCGAGTGGTGCTGGTGCATACCTTTAATCCCAGCACTTAGGAGGCAGAGCCAGGTGGATCTCTGTGAGTTCGAGGCCAGCCTGGTCTACAGAGTGAGATCCAGGACAGGCTCCAAAGCTACATAGAGAAACCCTGTCTCGAAAAACAAACAAACAAACAAACTGAATCTGTCCTGGAAAGGAGCAAGACTGATGAGTAGTGCAGTTCCCTGGCATGAGCAAGGCCATGGTTCATCCTTAGCACCCAGACCTCACCGTAGCCTCATGTTTCTGTTGCCTCTGGTGTCTCACAGCATGGTGTTGTCTCAGATGAGCCCTGGGAGAATAGAGGAGACGGGAGGCTCCACAGCAGGGTGCTGGCCTGTGTCCTGAGCCTGGGCTCCAGCCTTGGCACCAAAATCAGGACAAAACCCAGCTGCTCCAAGCAGGCTGCCCGGGGAGGTCCTAGCCCAGGAGCCTGAGCATGGATTTCCCCGGATGGACCGCAGGGCAGCAGTGCCTGAGGGTGTGACTCGGAGCCGTGTGCTCAGGAGGGAAGCAGCGGTTTTCTCATACTTCTGATAGGGGTGCTGAGTTTGAACCCCAGAAAAAGGAGGCAGGCCTGGAGGCCAAGTGGAGGTCACAGCACCTCCATCTTTCTCATTCTCTCTTTTTGCTTCTCAGTCATTGTGACAGAAAAGACGAACATCCTCCTGCGGTACCTGCACCAGCAATGGGACAAAAAGGCAAGGTTCTTGGCAGGGGCTGGGGATGTTTGAGTGGGGCCATGAGAGTTGAATAGGAGTTCTTCAGGTGGCCAGTATTGGGGAGAAGTATTCCAGTGGGCATGCTCTTGCGGTCCTAGTGCTTGGGAGACTGAGGATGAACCCGGGGCATTCCTCACTGCGCAGCTAGCACCCAGTCGCCAGCCAAGTCTCTTGTTTTTGTCATTTTACTGTAATGGTGAAATGTATGTATGACAAAAAGTTCACCTGGCACGGTACATGCCCGTCACCCCAGCCCTCGGGAAGCTGATGGAGTGTTGGGGTCAGCTGACAGTACGAGACCGTGAATCTGTGTTTTTGAGACAGGTCTCATTGTGAGCCCAGGGTGGCCTTGTACTAACAGTGATCCTCCTGCATCGGACTCCCAAGTGATAGGTTACAGGCTTGTGCTGCCTCATCCAGCTTAGATACATACTGTGTAAAAAGTACCTTGCAGGGTGTACCCATGTGGCTGATGGCTCCTGTAGACCTTTGAGAAAGGGTCATGGGCTGAGCGTGGGGGGACGCAGAGACAAGAGGATCTTTTGAGTTTGAGGCCAGCCTGGTTTATATAGTTTCAGAACAGCCAGAGCTATATAGAGACCCTGTCTCAAAAAAACAAAAACAAAAAACAAACCCCACAAGGAGGGAGAAAGGACCATGCTATTGACTGTCCTCACTCCGGCCTCTCCCCCACCCCTCCAGAATGCCGCCAAGAAGAGAGACCAAGAGCAGGTAGAGGCGGAGGGCGAGAGCTCAGCGCCACCCCGCAAGGTGGCCAGGACTGACAGCCCCGACATGCCTGAGGACACCTAGACCCCATGCCGCGCCCCACGTCTGTCTGCTCTGTCCGCTCCCGCCCGCGTTGTGTAAGCGCAGCCCGCCTCCCACACCCAGCCCGCGCCTTCCAACCTCCAACCTCATAGGACCCGTGTATTTATTTTCCTTGAGTTTTTATTTATGCTGTAACTCGTGTCAAGCATTGGTTAAAGGGACATCAGGCCTAGCCGTGAGGTGTCGGTAGACGCTATTTTAAAGCACAGTGGTGTCCCCCACCGGCCACCCGCCAGAGACCACGTCGGGGTCCAGAGCCCAGGGCGGCCTGGCTTCCCAACACACCGAGCGGCCTTCGCGCTCCTTCCCACCCGCAGGCCGGCCGGGTCTCGGTGCCCGGATCCTCCCGGGTGCTTCCCGTGCCCGGGCCTCACTCTGAGCCTACGCCAGGGCAGGAGAGAGCTGGCCTTTCTGGATCTTTCTCTTAAGTCATTTTATCATGGACTAGCCCGTGCTCCGCGTCCACCCCAATAAAAGGATCTTTCCTACTCCACCTGGCGTCTCTGGTCCACACACCTCGGTTGGAGCCACTGGGACCTGAGTGGCCGGCGTGGGGCTGCCACACCTCCCTGCCCAGGGGTCCTTGGGGTCACATTTCGTTGGGAGACAGAGCCCAGGACAGTGCCCCAGGGCACTGGACATCATGTGGGAGGCTCACCAGCCAGGCTGGGACTGGTAGCATTAATCCGGGGAACACGGGTGGGGGGGGGGGGGGGGGGGGGGGGGGGGGGCTGAGGTGGCCACACTGTCCTGGGGGGTAGGGAAGCTGCCTGGGCTACAGTGGCCGTGTGCCCTCAGAGTGGCACAGCACACGCCGCAGGTGCGGAGTTGCGGGGTTCCTGCGCACAGGCTGGACCCTGCTTGTGGTCAAGGCCAAAGCGTGCATGTTCCCCGGCAGTTACCCGGCCGCGGCCCTGCCGACTCAGGCCAGTTCTGACCCTGGTAGCAGTTTAGCCTCCTCACACAGTGACTGGGCCCCGCAGCCATCCCCGTTAACCCTCGTGTGCCCTGCTCACTTTCATACACACACTGGGGTTTCTGCCACCCTCAGGCCGGGGTCCAAATTCTGCCTTCCCACGACACTGCCTTTGCTGTGCAGCCTCGGGAGTGCCACCTGGGGCTCCCAGTGCCCTGCAGGCTGGCCAGGGTGACCTCTGGTGCCAGATCTGCCCTGGGCACCCACCCCCACGCGTGCTCCATCCCTGTGCCCCATCTGGGGCGTTGGGTGCCATGTACGTGCATCTGGACCCAGGCCTGAGACTGCCACGCCGAGGGGTTCCCTGGGCCTTCTAGAGGCCTCATCCCGGGAGAACCAGGGTGCTCAGCCACCAGCTACGGGTCCCCCGAGGTCCCTCCACCGCTCTGACCTCGAGCACTGTTGAAATAGACTTTATTGCATTTCTGCCGTTTTACAAAAATATGACAAAATAAATTAAAAACAAATAAATAACCGCCCATCCTGTGTACTTTTCTGTACTGTGGGGTTCCGCTCGTGGCCCCCATCCTGGTCGAGGGGACGGCAGGGGCGTGGCGGGGCTAGTGGCGGGCTGCGGGCCAGCAGGCGGGCTGCGCGGGCCGCGCGGGGGCTTCCGCGGGGCCGGGGACGCGGGGCGGGTTGTCGCCGCAGCCCCAGGGCGCGTCCCAGCGCCAGCAGCCGGCGGGCGGCGAGGCGAGCCCTGCGGAGGGAGAGCGCGGTTCGCGGGGCCCCACGGTGCCCACGGCCCTCGCGACGCGCGCCCCGGTTAAGGCCTGTGACCTGCGTCCTCGGGCCGAGATTCGGGCTCGGCGGCCGCAGGCTCGTCCCCGGCGCTCCTGTGCGCGCGCGCGCCTCCCCCGGGGGCCCCGTTGGCCGCAGACTCGCGCGCCGTGAAGGCGAAGAGCTTCCCGGGCCGCGGCGGGGACGGGCCGCGCTCGGGCGCCTTGAGGAAGCGCAGGCTGAGGAAGGCGGGCAGGCGCGTGTCCGCGGGCGAGCGCGGCGGGGGCGCGCAGCCGGCGGGCGCGGGCGGCCGGGCCTGCAGCGGGATGATCTGCTTCAGCCGCAGCACCGGGCCGGGCGGCAGCAGCGCTCCGGGCCGTCGGGGCCGCTCGCCGCCCTTGGCCTTGGCCGCGCCGCGCTCCGCCGCGGGGTCGGGACCCGGGGCCTCCGCGCGCGCCTCCTCGCGGCCGCCCGCGTCGCGCTCCCGCCGCGCCTGCTGCTCCGCGTGCCGCTGCCGCTCCTCCTCCTCCCGCCGTCGCCGCTGCTGTTGCTGGAAGCGCTGCTGCGCCTGCCGCTCGTGCCGCTGCGGGGGAGACACGGCCTGAGCGCCCCGACACCTGACCTGGCCACCCGGTGCCCGAGGAGCTGGGAGAAGGCCAGGAAACGCTGGGTCCGCTGCTCAGAGAGCAGGGCGCGTGGGGGGCCGTAGGTAGACCTCCAACCCCCGCTTTCTCAAAGGAATCGCGTCCTCCCCTTCCCCTTTCTTTGTGTGTTTTTGAGACACGGTTTCATTGTGCAGCTGGAATTTAGAATTCTGAATCTTCCAGCCTCAACTTCCCAGGGCTGGGGTCACAGGTCTGAGCCACCACTCAGGGCCCCGTCAATATAAATTAATTAAAATTCTCTTTGGAACTGATGAGGATCAGCGGTGGGGCCCCAGCCTAGGATCCTTCAGTGAGGGGCTGGGGGCGTGGCTCAGGTGGAGTGACAGCCTAGGACCCTGGCTCCTGGTTGGAACACTTTCTTAGAGTCTTCCCTAGAAGGTGCAGCTCCTTAGCCTTTCGTGCAGTTTGCAGAGGAGTTTGGAAGAGGCGGACTGGCAATCTGAAGAATGAGCATTCTTGAAAGCTTGGAGCTTGTGCCGTCAAGAATCTAGACAACACCCGCTACTGTGAGCAGGAGGTACCCACAACGGATTGGCTCTAGGATCCACAAGTTTGGTACAACGGATGCTGTGCTCCCTTCTACAGTGGCACCCTGCTTTCTATCTGCTCCCCCCTTCCTGTAAACTTCAAATGTCCCTAAACGGGGCTAGAGAGACAGTTCAGCGGTAAAGAGTACTGGCTGCTCTTGCAGAGAACCCCAGTTTAGTCCCCAGCACCCTCGATGCAGCTCACAACCCTCTGTAACTCCAGTTCCAGTGGGTCTGACGCCCTCTACTGGTCTCCAAGGGCACTTCATGCACATGGTGCACATACGCATGCAGATAAAGTAAAATAAATCTTAAAAAAGAAAGTCTCTGGGTGACTCACTGGGAATACTGTGTGAACAGTTGTTCTGAGGGGACACTGTGCTCCATATCTGTGGTCCCAGCTAACTGAGAGTCTGGGGATGGAGCCCCAAGCCTGGGCTGCACAACAAGACCCACTAACAGAATACATAAAGAATTAAAAAAGAAAAAAACAGGTATGCCGCCGGTACATGCCTATCCTGCTTTGTTTTTTAAGAGAGCACAGCATGAAGCCCAGGCTGGCCTTGAACTCCTGATCCACCTGCCTCCACTCCGAGGTGCTGGGATGACAGTTGTGTCCTCCACACCCTATAAATACTGGGGACTTTCATGCAAGTTGGTGGGATCTCTGGGTGTAGAGCCTGAGGGTGGGGAGTTGGGCTGTGAAGAGCTTGTGCATGTTCACTAAGGACTCAGCCTGGAATTTATTCCCTCCTGAAACCACACTGGCCAGACCCCAGCCCTGTACCTTGAAGGCTTCCCGTCGCTGGTACTCCAGTTTGGCCATCTCCTCGGCCACCCAGCCCGGGATGTCAGGGATGGCCGCATGGATGAGGTACTTGACTAGCAAAGCCAAGTGCTGTGGGGGACAGAAAAGGGGGCTGCAGGCTCAGGGATGCCTGGCTTCTCCACCCAGCCCCCCCCCCCAGGCCCACCATCCCCACCTCTAGCACCACCACAGACACGATGGCCGCCTCTGGGCTCAGCCAGGGGAAGAGACGCTGCAGCTGGCCGCACTGGCCGATGAGGTAGCAGTTCACCACGATGGCCAGCACACCCATCGCCTCCATGACCTTCTGCAGAGGAGACAAGAGGTTCAGGGCTGGGTCGAGCCAGGGACTGCCATCCCCTCTGGGCCTCCCTGAGTGGCCCACCTGCCACTGGCCAATGCTCTCCACACGCTGTCCAAAGGGCCGCTGTAGGCCGGTGCATAGCTTGAAGGCGTCGCTTCGGATCTCAATCAGGTTGTTGACTAGGGCACACAGGGCAGCCAGTGGGAAGGCAGAGGAGAAGAGTACCACGTAGCCAAACTGCACAAACATCTCCTGGTAGTCCTGGAACGTGTCCTGAGGACAGGGGCTCCCATCAGGCTTGCACTGCCCCCTCAATTCATCCCACAAGGCGCAGGCTCCCTCCCCATCTCAGATTCTGCCTGCTCAAGTCCAAGGGCCACGACGGCCAGCGGGCTCTGGCGCTCACCACACCAGGGGTCCCATGTTCACCCTGACACATCCACTTGCAGACCTGCCTCCACCTTCACATCCAGTGTTGTGGAATATTATTTTAAGATGTGTTACACCTGTTTATGCTGTGGAGCATGTGTTTAATGATTCAAAGATGTGTTGTATCCTTTTATGTTGCATTTGTTTTAACTCTGTGAGGCTGTGTTACTTTGCTTGTCTAAAACACACAATGGTCTAATGAAAAGATGAATGGTCAATAGCAGGGCAGGAGAAAGGATAGGTGGGGCTGGCAGGCAGAGAGAATAAACACAAGGAAGAATCTGGGAAAAAGGAGTTCAAGGAACAAGAAAGGGAACGAGCAAGAAAACAAGGGGCCAGCCACCGAGGCACACAGCCAGACACCTAATAAGAAGGAAAGAAGATATACAAATAGAGAAAAGTAAAATCACAGAGGCAAAATGTAGACAGTTTTACTTTAAGAAAAGCTGACTAGAAACAAGCCAAGCTAAGACCAGGCATTTATAAGTAAGAATTAAGTCTCCACGTGTGATTTATTTGGGAGCTGGGGGAAAGGCTCCCCCTAAGGACCAAAGAGTAAAAACAACCAACAACAGTGCACCCCTGAGTGTAACAACAACAGTGCACCCCTGACTGTAACAACAACAACAGTGCACCCCTGACTGTAACAACAACAGTGCACCCCTGACTGTAACAACAACAGTGCACCCCTGACTGTAACAACAACAGTGCACCCCTGACTGTAACAACAACAGTGCACCCCTGACTGTAACAACAACAGTGTACCCCTGACTGTAACAACAACAACAGTGCACCCCTGACTGTAACAACAACAGTGTACCCCTGACTGTAACAACAACAACAGTGCACCCCTGACTGTAACAACAACAGTGCACCCCTGACTGTAACAACAACAGTGCACCCCTGACTGTAACAACAGTGCACCCCTGACTGTAAAAACAACAGTGCACCCCTGACTGTAACAACAACAGTGCACCCCTGAGTGTAACAACAACAGTGCACCCCTGACTGTAACAACAACAGTGCACCCCTGACTGTAACAACAACAGTGCACCCCTGACTGT